AGCGTCTGAACTGTTGGAGGTGGCTTGGGCCCTGGGGAGGCCGAGCCCTCGGGGCTGGAGCAGGGATGTCGTGTGACGGGCCACCCACCGTGTGCGGTCATTCAGTCAGTCAGCAAACATTTGTTTCCGGGTGCCCACAGGGTGCCAGCCCCGTTCTTGGGTGCAGAGAGCAGACCAAGGTCCCTGAGCTCGCGGGGAGGGTGCGGCCGTGGCCCAGGCCCCCAGCGCCAGCTCTCCAGGGGTCCTGGGGAAGAAGTCAGCGGTCTCTAGCAGAGCAGAGGTGCAACATTGTTACAACCACCCTCCCCCCTCGCCTCCACGTCCTCGAAGCCTCATGTCGGTGTTCAGCTGAGGTTCGATCCCCGCAGCGGGGCTCCGGGGGGCGGGGCCGTTCAAGCGTGTGTGCTCGCAGCGGGACGGGCCTTCAGAAGCCGGAGTGGCGGGACCTGAAGCCCGACAGCAGGTGACGTGTGAGAGCCGCCGCCCCGGCTGGTTCAGCACGCATGTGCCCCTCGCCTCCTGGGGAGGCCGTGCTGGAAGGGCTGCGCAGGGCGGCCGGGCTCACTGCAAGATAAGGAGGCCCAGAGCGGGGTCGGCCGGCCTGCCGCCGGCACCAGAGGGGCGGAGGGGCCCCACAGCCGGCGCCCTGTCGTCACCCACCCCCGGCGGAGCGGACAGTGGTGTGCGGCCAAGGCAGCGGGCTGGTCAGCAGCACGTCCCATGCCACGTGCCCCAGTGGGGTCCTCCTCCTCTGCCCGGCCCCGCCTCTCTGACCCCCATCCCATTGTAACTATCAGACCGGAGGGCTCCCTGGAACCCTGCCCCCACACTCAGACAAGCATCAAAAAGCAAAATCGTGGGAGTCACCTTTGATTCCTGTCTCTCATCCCTCTAACCACCCATCCCCCCTGCATGGTGCCAGCCTCCGTACCCGCCCCCTGCTTCTTCCCCCACCTGGGTCCCCTCTCCACCGTGGGCCAGAGGGGCCCCCCGGAGTCTCATGTCTGCCTCCAGCGGGACGAAGTCCTGTCGGTCGGTGACGGTTGGTCACGGTCACGAGGACCACAAGGCACTGCAGGGCCTGGCTCCGCCCCTCCTCGTCAGTCCCGGCCCCTCCCTCCGCCCCTTTTCGGGCACTTTTGAGCTCCAGGTGGGTGCCCCTCTCCGCCCGAGCCCAGCCAGTTGGTCCTGTCTTCTCCATGAGATCACTAGCACCGCCAAGCCCATCCCGTTCCCTGTGGTAGTCCCTGCGGGTCACCTGTTTGGGGACCAAATAGAGGCTCAGGAAAGATGTCACCTGAACTCGGTGTGAGCATAAAGGCAACGCTGGAGAGGCGGGCGGGTGGGGCTGGGCCCCGAGCAGCCCTCTCCCCCTCCCCCACTCCCCGATGACCACAGGCACATCCCACATAGTGGGCCACCCTGCCAGCCTCAGGGCCCCCTCCACCGTGAAGTCCCCCTGGATTGCCCTGGGCAGAGGCAGACCCTCCCTTTGTGTCACCCCTTTGTGTCGTTGGAAGGGAGAAGCTTCCCGGGCCTTGTCTGGCTCTTTGCAGTGCTCTGAGGCAACCGCGCGGGGGTTCCCAGGGCCTGCTGGACGCACTGCGTGGCCTTGGGGTTTCTGGTCGGGGACAGAAGGGCGGCCCTGGGGAGGGTTTTTCCGACACGGAGTGCCCCGGGGAGGGACAGGAGGGGCTTTATGCGGATTACTCTCCACGGAGGTGAGAGGTGGACACCCACCCTCCCTCACACCCGAAGCTCCTCCCAGGTGCCTCCCCGCACCTTGCTTCGTGTGGTCCGCTTTTACACAGCTTTGTTGAACTAATTCATGTCCATGGAACACGAGGTGTGGTCTTCGTGACGAGCCCCTTTCCCTCGGAGTAACGTTTCAAGGCCCGTCCACGTCCTAGCAGGCGTCAGGGGTTTGTGGCTGAATAAGGTGACGCCGGCGGGACGGAGGGGGCACGCTTCCTGTGTCCGTCTGTCGGCTGATGGGCATTAGGGGGGCTTCTATCAGGGCCCGTTGGGAAGCCTGAGTGGCTCCCGCAGGGGTGCAGGGTGCGCCTCCCAGTCAGTCCCAGCTTCGCCAGGGGTCTTGCTGCAGAGGGACCGTTGGTGACATTCATAAAGAGCCCTTGAGGCCCTGGCTGGCGTAGCTTGGTGGATTGAGCTCGGGCTGCGAACCAAAGTGTCGCAGGTTCGATTCCCAGTCAGGACACATGCCTGGGTTGCAGGCCACAGCCCCAGCAACCGCACATTGATGTTTCTCTCTCTCTTTCTCCCTCCCTTCCCTCTCTGAAAATAAATAACTCTTAAAAAAAAAACATGACCCATTCAAATTATAAAATACTATACAGCCAAAAAATAAAATGAAATTCTATAACCCAAATGGGAAAAATTAAATGATATTTTAAAAAAAAAAGAGCCTTTGAGGACCCCCAGGCTGGGACCCTCCAGCCGACAGCCGTCTTCGGCCGGCTCTTCCCAGGCCTCGGCGGTCCCGGTTAGGGGTGAGCGACTTCGAAGGCCAAGTTCCCCAGGGGACTTTCTCTTCTGTTGACCAAGAGGCCTGGGGTTGCTGATTTTTTAAAACTTAAAACTGTTTTTATTACATAGCATTTCAAAGCCCAAGAAAAAAAAATGGCCAGCCCCGTACCAACCCAGCTGTGACCAGTCACAACACTTGTGTGTGTGTGTGTGTGTGTGTGTGTGTGTGTGTGTGTACAGCGCCTGGCACACATAATGCCCCTTTTTTATTCTAAAACCTTTTATTACAGAATCATAAGCATGTAATTCTGTAACAGAATAATACCATTCAAGCACACCTTATGACATTGTAGGGGAAATGTTTAAATTCAAACTATACATTATTGCACCCGTATTCTCACCCTGCCAACCACGCTCACGCAGGCCTTGCTCCTGCTGGCCTCTGTATGTTTATTTATAATATATGAGCCGGGGAGAGAGGGAGAGAAACATCAGTGTGAGAGAGAGAGACATTGGTTGGTTGTCTCGCATAAGCGCCCCGGCTGGGGACCAAACCCACCACCCGGGCAGGTGCCCTGACCAGGAATTGAACTGGCGACCTTTCAGTTCTCGGGCGATGCCCAGCCCACTGAGCCGCTGCAGCCGGCGACCACAGGGACGCTGCACTTCTGTTGCCAGTGATGGTTTCTGTTAAACCGCGTTTAAGAGCAAAGGATTTGTCCAAAGAGAAGCCTCACATTGGTAGCAGGGCGGGAGGTGAGCAGGGAGGCCAAGACGCTGAGGGTGGTGGGCACGTCACAGACAGCTCCCCCCTCTCCTCCCACAAGTGCCCCCGGCCTGCCCTCCAAATGCCCTTGGGCTGCCCTTGCATCCGCTGGCCCATCTCCTCACCTGCCGCTGGCCGGCCAGACCAAGGCCTGCTCTTCCAGCCGTGGAGGGGCCAGAGGTGTGAGCTGCTGGCTCTGGACCCGCCCGTGGGCCCGGACCTCAGCGTGGCCGTGGAGCTCCGGGCAGGGGCCGCCCCAGGACCCACAGGGACAGACCCGGGTCTAGGGGCATTGGCTGTGTCCCAGCCCTGCCGGGACCTGGCCTGTGGCCTGGGCAGGTGCCCCCAGCTCTGAGCTCTGAGACAGGGCCGCAGCCACCCCCGCCTCCTAGGCTGCGTGGGGGAGAATTTTACTGGGACTAGAGCCCTCAGCCTGGAGCCGGGCACCTCACCACACAGACTTTGATGTGTATAAAAAGTATCCAATAAGATGTCCTCCTCGTTTCCTCTTTGTTTCACTGTATTGTCAACTGCAATTTAATGTTGCGGGGGTGGGGGGGTGTGGATCTGTTAGTGTGTTGCTGGCTCCGCCCTCCCTCCCGGAAGACCCGGGGGCCAGCGCCTCTCCGCTGGTTCGCTGCCCGGTCCCTCCAGGTGCCCGGCTCCCAGGGGGCGGGCTGCGCACTTGGCGAGTGAATGCCTGAGTGAGCGGACTCGTGCTTCCCCTGAAGGCAGCCGCACCCAGGGCCCAGGTCTCGCGTGGACCCGCATCCCTGTAGCCCCCACCCGTGGTTCCGTCCGTGGCCCTTCATCCGGGGTTCATCCCGCTCAGCCTGGCGGCTGCCGCCCCGGGGCCCCCGACCTGCGTCAGGCGCGGGCAGGATGTGGGGGAGCCGCCCCAGGAAGGACCCGGCCCGCCGCTGGGGTGGTTGGAGGGGTGGAAACTGGACAGGACCGGCGCGCCGCACGCCGCCGTGGCCGGCCTGCCTCCCCAGCCGCACCGCCATCCAGAACCGAGAACCCTGCTCCTTAGCACCCTGGCTGTCACCTCCGCGGGTGGCAGCCCTGGGGGGTGACACCGCCCTGGCTCGGCCCCGGCACCTTCATCAAGAGTGGTGTGGGGAAGCCCCCTGGGAGGCACCAGGGGCCCCGCCTCTCCCCTCCCAGGTTAGGGGCCCAGGGCCTGGAGGAGGGAGGGGTAGGCAGTGGGGCGGGGCTGAGGTGGGCGGGGATAAAGCGCCCCCCCCAACACCCTCACCCCCGGCCGCAGTGGTGGAGCCTGGGCTGGGGGTCCACGGGCCTCCACGTCCCCGAGAGGGGAAGAGACCAGGAAGCCAGCTGCCTGAGCGGCTGGGGGGCTTGGCCCCGCCTCCGAGGGAGGCGCCCTCAGGATCCCCGTCCCCACCAGCGGGAAGGGGGACACGGGGGCATTCCGGGGTCCCGAGCGCCGCCGGGGTGCGAGCGCGGCTCATGACTCCGGGTCCAGCCCCCGCTTCCCCCAGGCGGCGGCGTGCAGTCCCGGCGTCTGAGACCCCTCCCCGACTCCACGCTCTTTCTCACTCCCCTCTCTCGTGACGTCATGCTCCTCTCGCGCGGCATGATGGGAGAATCCTAATGTTTTCCAACAGATGCTCCAAGAAGCGCTTTCAGATTAAAGCAATTGCAAGAGCAAAGATTCTTCATTTTTCCTTTTTTTTTTCCGGGGGGGTGGGGGGTGGGGTGGGGGGAGGGAGCGCCCTTAGAAATTCCTGGACATCAACCCCTGCCCCAAGCACGCAATAAACACTGACAAGAAAAAGTTTTTATTTCCTGGTTCAACTTTTTTTTTTCCTGGAATACGGACTGAAGAATGGGAATAAACTCGAATAAATAGCAGAGCCAGGCCGCGCGCTCCGGGATGCGCCTGGCTGCGGCCGCCGGGCTATTGTCTCGCCGCCCCGAAGCGGCCCCGGCGTCCTCCTCCGGTTCCTTTCCTCTCCCCGGCCTTTTCGGCTTTGCTTTTTGAAACGGCGCCCCCTCCAGCCCCCTCGCCGGTGACCTTGGCCGCCTTGGATGCTCTCTGATTCCGCAAGGCTCCCTCCAACTTGCCCCCGCGCCTGCCGGGCCCATGGCCGCGTCGGAGGACGGGAGCGGCTGCCTTGTGTCGCGGGGCCGGTCGCAGAGTGACCCCAGCGTCCTCACCGACTCCTCGGCCACCTCCTCCGCGGATGCCGGGGAGAACCCAGGTAACAGGGCCGGGCGGGGGCGGCGGGGCGGGTGGGGGAGGCCGGGGCCGGCGGCGCTGGGCGTGCGTCCCAGGCGCTGCTGCTCCGCGCCCCCGCCTGCGTTTGGGGAGCCCCGGTCGGACCGGGAGCTCGGACCCCGCCGTTCGCGTTCCCCGTGACGCGGCAGGGGCGCGCCGCGGAGCCCTTTGTCCGGGGAGAAGCCGGTTTCCGGGTACAGCCAGGTGCTCGGCGTCAGGGGCCCTCCTTGCCGGCTGTGGGCAGGGCTGGCCCTCCGAGGGACTTCCCTTCCCCGGGTGCTGACCGGCTCCGTGAGCAGAGCCAGACCCGTGGCCACCTCCGCCAGGGCTGGCTCGGAGCTCTGCCTCCCGCGGGCCCCAGCGCAGGTGGCCCGGCGTCCCCGCCCTGGCGGGGCAGAGCCCCTGCGGCCGCCGAGCGGAGGGGCTTGCTCCGGGCGCGCGACTCCGGCGGGGCTGGGCGCACCTGGGCGCGCCGCCCGCCTCCCCGGCAGGTGAGCGCCGGGGCTGCCAGCGGGGAGGGGAAGGGCGGGCGCCCGGACGGAGCCCGGTTTCTGTCAATCACGGGGACCGGGTCCTCTCCCCACCCCCGCGGCAGCGTCGATGGTTCAGGTGATGAATCTGGTCACAAAGGCGTCTATGTGTCTTGATTGATTACTTTCCAGAGAGGAAGAAAGGCCTAATAAAGCAGGAGAGGGGTGGGCTGTGGTGCCCTGTCACCATGGAGACGCGGGAAGCAAAGCGATCATTAAAACCTTTCTCCACCAGAAGGCAATTTTCACTTCGCAGGGAGAAGTCTGAGCTTCTGGATGTGGGGTTCAAAAAAAGAACCAAAGCTGGTGCTTTGGTATCAAGACGCAGGACCCGGTATTCGATCTTGGAGAGGCACCGTCTATCTGTCCCCAGAATCTGCTGTGACAATAAGTTGCCCGTGCCTTTGAAGGAGTGTCTCTCCGCAGGCATGGAGCCCGCACGGGGGCTCCGTCAGGGCGGGAGGTGGGCACCCGAGTCAAGGCAGCCCCTGGGGCTGCGCGAACAGGGCTCTGTGGGGGGCGACCCCCTCCCTCAAGAACACGGGGGGCTTTCCTGTGGCGCTGCAGAGAGGGACCCGTCAAAGGCAGCTCTGTGGGCACCCGAGCCCAGTTGGAAATTGTAGACAATAAGCCCATTCAAGGCTTGTGAGATTTCTTTGTTAGGACTATTGACACTGTATCATTCAGTCAAACGAAGGTACCAGCCAGGGGACATCCCTGGCTTTTCTCTATCTGGAAGGTCAAGTTCATTTCCTCGGAGCTTCAAGCAGAGGCTACCATAAGCCGACCCTTCAGGCTTTAATTAATCCTTTTATGAGAAATCGGGGATGAACCCGCGGCACTCCATGTTGGGGTGGCTTCTCTCTGTGCTGGAGAGGCATGGCCGGGGCGGGTCCGATTATGGGGCTGGAGCGGCTCCTCACTCGAGGGTCCTTCCTTCCCCGCTCCTTTTGTCTCCCTGGCCGTCAGAGGAAGCGAACTTGAAACGGAAATGATGGAGGGTATGGCTTCTGGGCTGCCTGCCTCGGTGGGTGGGGACTCGGGCTGGTGCCTGCCCACCAGGGCGGGGGGGTGAGAGGGGCCCCCCCCCCGAAAGGGCCTGGGTGCCAGCGATTCAGGAAAGCCACAGGACGAGGGACGCCGGAGCTTGTCATTATCTCTGGGTCACATGGTCGGCACGGGACCCTCAGGGCAGGTGTCGGAGGTGAGCCGTCTGCAGCATGTGTGATTCGGGAGTGGTCGGACCGTACTAAAACCCAGCAAGCAGTGAAGTTTTATGGATTGTGTTAAGTAAAGGAGTTCGGGCAGGAAGAGAGTGTGGTGCTGGCAGAGTGGCTGAGAACCAGAAGGTTGCGGGTTCGATTCCCAGTCAGGGCATGTGCCTAGGTTGTGGGCTTGATCCCAGGTTGGGGCGTGCACGAGGAGCGACTGTCGCTGTTTCTCTGTCGCATTGAAGTTTCTCGCTCTCTCTCCCCGATCCCCCTCCTTGTTCCTCTCTCTAGAATCAATAAACATATCCTCAGGTGAGGATGAGGGAGGGAGAGAGAGAGTCAGAATTTCAAGTTGGAAGTAACCTGGGGACTTGAAGCAAGGAGGGTGGACGAGGGGGGCACTTTCTGCGACCTCTTTGCCTGCGTGACTTGGCCTGTGCTTGCATACCACTGTGGACGGGGAGATCACTTCTTTCTGATGCCGTGCATGCTGCTTGTTGGATGTATCTCTTTCAAGTTGCCTTTCCAACGGGCTCAGGAGGGTCTGCCGTCCGCCAGTCCTTCCCCGGGCCGTCTTGGGACGTGTCTCCTGGGCTTTCGGAGGGTCTGCTCTTGTCGGTCACTGTCACACCGACCGGAGTGGTTTTTTCTCTGGGGTGCGGCGCCCGAGTCCTTCATCCTGCTCTCCCGCTGGGACCGCTCTGCCTGTCCACCTGCCACTCTAGAGAGCTGCCCCCCGGAACCGAAGCCGGGACACCCGCCGGGGGCCCTCCCGGCACAGAGACAAGTGGAGGAGTCACCCTCTGCCGCCCACGCTTTCTGCTTTATGAAACGGCCCGGGGGGCCTTTACCCTCGCCCCCAAAGGCGTGTCGGCGCCTCAGCACCCTCTCAGTGAAAACTCAGACCACGATCCCGGGTGAGCGGTGACACCCCCTTCTCTGTTTAGAGGTTTTCTCGGGGAGGCCCGGAGTGGATGACAGCCTCTGCCCCCCACCACCCCCCAGCCCTCCCCCCTTCCCATGCGGGATCTGCAGGTGCTGGGAAAAGGCGTTTCACAGCACCCCGGGGCGTGCAGGGCATGCAGGTTCCAGGTTCCACTCAGCCGCCCTGTCCCCTGCATGCTGCGTCTCTGTCTCCCCCACATTCCCCATCCCCCCTAATAGCCACATGGTGGTCGGAGGAACGTGTTTTCACAGTGTAGCTGCTACATATGTGTGTCATGTCTGGTTTTGCCCATGCCGGGCCGCAGGGCGGTGAGGACCCAGGCAGAGCTTCGTGTGTCACCTGTAAACTTCCCCCGGGGCGCGTGCCGGCTACTGGGAGGCCTGGGCTCCCGGGGACCCGCGGGCTGTGTGTCCCTGACAGCGCGGTCTCCTGGGAAACGCACCCGTGGACACTCCCCCCAGAACCCCCGAGGGCGTCCCTCCTCCCGGGCTTGCCCACCCCTGAGACCATCGGTCTGGGTCTGTCTCGCACGGGGAGTGACAAATGCCATCTCCCAGCGCTCAGGTGTGGCTCCTTGATTGCTGGTGAGCGGGGGCACCTTCCGTGGCCTCCTCATTATTGGGGCATTAAATCTCTCAGTGGCCGCGTCCGAGGCGAGGGACGGCGTAGCAGGCGCGGAAGGTATCCCCGGGGGCCACCTCTCCCACTCCCTTCATCACTGTCCCATTAACCATCCCACCTGCCCCTCGCCCAGGCCCTTCTCTGTAGATCCTTGCTCTACGCCTGCAGCCTGAGACCCTGCCCAGGTATCCCCCCAAATGAACCTTGTCAGCCGGCAGGGCAGCCCCCCACGGCCCCCCTCCCTTCGGGGTTTGCACCCCGCACCGAGTGTCGTTTCATCCCCTCTCCCCATCTGCTCCGGGGCCCTGGGAAGCGCGTCTGAGCCTCCCCACTGGGTGGCCTGTCCTGGCTGTGGTCCAGCACGGAGCAGACGGTCTGTGACCTCCTTCCTGTCCAGTCCCCCACACCGCCTCAGCCTCCGCCTCCTCGTCCCCTCGCTGCCCTGGCCACTGGTCTCGGGCCACTGCGCTGTCCTGCTCCCCGCCCACCCTGCTCCTTTTCCTGTCCCTGGTCCCTCAGGCCAGGGGTCCCGAGGGGCCCTCCTCCTGCCTTCTCCCCCACTCCCAGCTCTCTCCCTGGGGTGTCGCCCTGGCTCCAGATGCCAGGACCAGAGACGGGGTCACGGGTCGCCTGAGACTGCTTTTCAGACACGTCTGTGTGGCCTGTGGTGTGCCTGTTTACAGAGTCTGTGCAGCAGGGTCTGAGGGAGGAGTGGGGGCGGGAGGCGGGGACCCTTCATCCAGGGCAGGGCCTGCCCCTCACCACTGCCGACACCTGGGGCGCCCCCTACCTTGTAGGGTGTGGGCAGCGTCCCTGGCATCTGTTCAGTGGGTGACAGAAGCGCCCTGCCCCTGGATGTGACAGTCCAAAATGTCATCAGACCTTGCCCAGTGTCCCTTGGGGGAGAACCCTCCCGGGAGAGCTGCTGGTTCAGGTTATCTGTTCTCAAGCCTGGGGGCACGCCGGATTCCGCCGCAGGCTCGTTGGCCCCCCACGTTCCTGACGCAGCGCGTCTGTGGGGTCTGATCACGTGCACTTCCAACCCGGTGCTGCTGGTGCTGCCGGCCAGGTGGCCTCACCTGGGGCAGCCCCGAGCAGGCCCTCAGCCACGGGCCTGGCCTCTGTCCCGACAGCGTCTGTGTCTGTGCGTCCCTGGGGGTCCTCACCCCGCCTCCTCCTTCGGGTCTTGGCCTGTGTCACCGCAGAAGGCCGGTCAGGCCACCTGATAGGGTTCAGGTAGCTGCCCCGCCCCCGCCCCTGGCCGGCCCGACCCCATCCCTCTATTCCGACAGGCCTAGGGCGTGCCCCGCTACCTGGCGGTGGGCCCTTCCCCTCCCTGTGGGCTGGCCCCCCTCGGCCGGGAGCCCAGCACCCACTGCACACACGAGAGGCTTCCGGGGGCGTTCGGAGAGTGAGCGGGCACGCGCACCAGACGCCGGTGTCCAGCTGGCCAGGTGTGGGGCCGCCCCGGTGGCCAGCGCCCCTGCCAGCTGGGCAAGGCCTCTGCAGACACGCAGCTGAGTGACGGCCGGTGGGCGGCTGGGGGGCGGGTGAGTGTGGACAGGCTGCAGCCCCACCTTCCTGCAGACACAGGTCCCCCTCAGAGAGGGAGACGCCGTTTGGAGCACCCACCCTCCTGGAGCTTCACACGGACACACAGACACACGGACACGGG